AATCAAGTGGGTGATTTTATGGAGGAAGGAGAAGATTGAGGTTCCCCTGGAGAACACCACGCCATTCCTCACTCTTTATGTGGTGGCATTTGGCTCATTCACAGCAGATAGATACGCTGATGTCCCAGTGGGAAGTACAGGAAAGGCTCACAATTGTCCTTGGATGCTGGAAACGGGGAGCTCTGAATACAGTGCATGGTGTTGAAAACCACAGAGGCAGGGACGAGGACTAAGAGAAGTTCGTACCTCTAGCCTTGTATGCATGCATGGGGGAGGGGGACACTTTGAATTGTAGACTATTGACAAAAAATGCCACCAAAGCCATCAGCAATAACAGCCGTAAGTAAATACTATGAAAGAAATCTCAAGTGTCATCTCCAGGCCCCAGAATACTTTCATTAGGATGAAGTACGTTTGCCACACCTCAAATTCCATTCATACTGACTTTTTGACTCTCGCTGGGAACATAGGGGGAAAAAAATGGAAAAACAAAAGTGTGGTTTTTGTTTTTTTTTTTTTTTAATAAATGAGTCTAGTCCACCGGGCAGGTGTAAGGATACTTTATTACTGAATCAGTATGTACAAACTCTAACATGAAAATAATGAGTCACAGAATATCAGACTATTTACAATACTTTTTTTTTTTTTTTACAAAATGCTTTTTTTTACAGGATTACTTCTCTCTAAATAACATGACAGACACACACAAAAATCACTTTTTTTTTTATTACAGACATAAATAAATATTGACGTGAAATGACCAGTCTAAGAGGCGTGATCTCTGTTGGCCATTCGGATGAGAAGGTAGGTCTTTTGTTATCTGCACACTACAGTATAATTAAGTAAAGAAATAGTAACTTTACATACAGATCTCTGTTAATCACTCTGTCAATGGTAGAACTTGCTAAAATACTCAGTAGAGGTAAGAAACGGAGTCTGGCCATGCACAATCATAGGTAAGAGTCACCATCGTTATGCATTTATTATTTTCCGTGAGTTATAAGTACATGCAACAGTGAGCCTTCCTGTTCTGGTTACAACGTGAAGGTTTGTATAAAAAGATTCAGAGATAGTTGGAATCGTGGGAATGAGCAAACTTAGTTACTAAATCCATGGCACAAGGTGTAAGAAAGGGCATTAAATAAATAAGTCATTATCACAAGTGACGCTGACTAGTAGGAAGGACAGAATTACTGTGGGTACTTGCACGATACAGACACGAGTCAAAATTCAGCGTCGCCATCACGGGTTTCAGAGCACATAAGACACACTACGGGGGCTTTGAAGTCGAATGTTGTAACTTCCCGGGGCTTACTCCTGTAATTTACTCAGTTCCTTATGCAAGGCAAAGAATCACTGGCTGTCCCCGGTTGGGGACATCTGGCGGGTAAGGAGCCAGGGATGCTGTGCTACACCCCAGAGCGTAACCGGCCCCAGCGCCCCATCTGCTGAGCTGCAGAAAGCCTGCTTTGTAGAGTTAGTGACGGGCTCTTTCAGGTTCCCAGGAAACAGACGTATCTTTAAACTTGGGTTTGTTTCATAATCGTTTCAAAAAACTCCCTGCCATCAATTTTAGTGTCTCTACTATGTCATATTAAAACAACGAATGGCTTAAAAGGGCACACGCTCACTTA